GACGACAGAGGACGAGATGGTTGGACATGTCATCGAAGCTACCAACATGACTTTCACCAAACTCTAGGAGGCAGTGGAAGATAGGAGGGCCTGGCGTGCTCTGATCCATGGGGTCACGAAGAGTTGGACAAGACTTAACGACTAAACAAGAACAATGTGGTAAGGAAGAGACAGGGGAGATAGGAGGCTTCCATAGAAGCCATTAGGCTGCAAAAGGCTGCAAGTTACAGGATAATCAAATATAAAAGCTTGATTATCAATTGCGCCCAAACAAAATGAGTGTATTTCAGAAATGTTAGGAAATCTGAGACTACTTTTACTTTGTTTCCAGATGAAATCAGAAGTAGTCATTTTAATTTACAAAGGTTTCAAATGGCCTGGGATCAGGGAAATTGAAAGATCATTGGCTCATTATCCCCATAATCTCAGGCCTCCCCACCTTCAGAAGTTGCATTAGCGGATGAAGTAGTGATAGGATCTTTTCCTTATTCTTCTCATTAAAAAATGTTTGACATCCTTTAGATATGAAGTTACAATTGCCTTCCTGTCCAGGAAATACTTTTTTAAAAATAACTGTTATAATTTCTTTTGAAGCACTAGATTTTTTGGTGAATGCATTTTGGTTTGTTAGGATTTTACTATTTATGGTTTCTCTCCTATTTTGTACTTTAGCTTAAAAATGTTTGAATTACAGTGGTGCCTCGCTAGACAGTTACCCTGCATGACAGTTTTTTTTTTTGCTAGACATTGACTTTTTGCGATCGCTATAGCGATTCGCAAAACAGTGATTCCTATGGGGGAATTTCTCTGGACATTGTTTGGTCCCTGCTTCGCAAACCAATTTTCGTTAGACAACGATTTTGACAGCTCCCTCTGTGCTTGCAAAACGGATGTTTTCGGGACCTAAGCTTCGCAAGACAGCTACTTAAACAGCTGATCGGCGCTTCGCAAAGTGGCTTTCCTATGGCCGATCTTCGCTAGACAACGACGATTCTTCCCCACTGAAACGCATTAAACAGGTTTCAATGCATTCCAATGGGGAAATGCTTTTCGCTAGACGATGATTTTGCTAAACAGCTATTTCAGTGGAATGGATTACCATTGTCTAGTGAGGCACCACTGTAACTAAATTAATTAGGCAGGGTAGGTCAAAGGTAGAAGATATATAGAGATGAAAGCCAAAGAATACTAATGTAGAATGCCCATAACAGAATAGGGAAGACCTTCCCAAATCAAAGACCAAGGGGAAGAAGTTAGCAAGAAAAGGTGGTGACAGTTACACCAGTGAAATTAGCAAGAGGAAGCCCAAATACGTTAATGAGCAAGATCTCCTTTATTTTCAGTCTGAAAATTAATCTTCAGTATGAAAATTAAGATAAGCTGCAAGTCCAGACCAGATAAGAAGTTGGACGGGAGTTAGATTGATGACAGCATAGCAACAGATCAGTGTTGATGAGTACACCAATCCTACTGCCGCAAATCTTCATACTTCTACCTAGAATTAGTCACCAATCAAGAACCATGTAGAGCAGCCATTCTCAATCCTTTTTTGGCCATATCCATAAACACAAAATGAAACAAATATAGGTTGAATCAGGATTGTAGAAGTTACATAACAAATCTTATAATGTGGTGTGTGAAGAATTGCCTCCAGTCTGTGACCCCCTTTAAATGTGCCAGGGTCCCCCTCCCTCCAGGGATTTGTTGAGAATGGCTGCTCTAAAGAGCTACTACAAAATACGATGACCACAATCCACCACCACTACAACCATACAGTCACTGTTTGTTTGCTCTCTGAAACAGATTTAGGGAAACACTCCACCCCAGCAACCCCATTATTCAACTGTAATGGAACTTTCCTAGCACAAGAACTCTTGATCTAAACAAACTCATAGTGGCTACTGTTTTTTCAAGTGCTACAGGAAACACAGTTAAGCGTTTTGTTTCCAAACTTGTCCTAGAGCAGCCCCTGCTCTCCTCCTATAAAGCTATGTAATAAGGAAACACTGATTAAAACATACCATGAAATCTGAATAGCTAGGCTGGTTGGTAGATTTGCCTTCCTTGCACTCTTCTAATGGTGATCGGTACAGGGAATCTAGACGTATGGTTTTGTAAGGCGTCTGTAAAATGTAATTGTAAATACACACCTACTGGTCTTGAGTTACATTCAATACAAACAGCTAATCTGATTTGGATGTCAGACGACAAGATGAAAAAATGATTGTACCTAATAGGAAGGTTTCCTTATGTGCACGCTTCCTTACAGCTTCTTCTCAGATGAGAGCTCTAAAATTCACATGTTTCTGTATCTTTTCTTATGACTCATACTATCCAATATAGTTCAGATTCTTTCATACTAAGTAACCTTTTAGCTTTCACTGTATTATTTCACAGACATTTAGTGAATGTCTTAATAACCGAGACACTGGCTTAGCTCTTGTTACAATCTGCCAGAAAGTCCTTTACTGGAAAGCTGCATCTGTGCTCTAGTGTTGCCCATGCAAAATCTTTTGAAGTTTTTATGTTAGAATCCAGACCTAACCTGTTATTATCTCTATTGCCTTTACTGCATTCAATAAGCTAAGCAGTTTCATTGTCTCAAATGTACACCACTTCCAATAGCACTAAAATACAGTGGTGCCCCGCATAGCGAGGTTAATCCATTCCGGATTAACCCTCGCTATGTGAAAACATCGCTGTACGGAACGGGGAAAGCCATTGGAACGCATTAAACTTAGTTTAATGCGTTCCAATAGGCGCCAAAACTCACCATTCAGCGAAGTTTTCCCATAGCCGGCAGCCATTTTCGCGCCCTTGGTAAGCGAGGGGAGGGCGCGAAAATGCTGCGGGCGGCCATTTCGGGGCTTCCGGCGGCAATTTTGGAGCCGCGGAACAGCTGATCGTCGGGCATCACAAAGCGAAGGTCGGTAAGCGAAATGCTTACCGATCTTCGCTATGAGAGTTTCGCCCATAGGGGCCATCGGTATGCAATCGCATTTGCGATCACAAAACCCTAATCGCTATGCGATTTCGTCATTATATGGTGCGCTCGTTAAGCGAGGCACCACTGTACAGTGTTTCCCACTACATGATGCCTATAGTTTCTTGTAACTTTCAGTGCTTTACTAGGCAGAGCCTTATGCTTTTCAGAAGGTAAGGTTCCTCTTGACATTTAGTTCAGTCGTGTTCGATTCTAGGGGTGGTGCTCATCTCTGTTTCCAAGCTATAGAGCCAGTGTTTGTCCAAAGACAGTTTCCGTGGTCATGTGGACAGCGCAACTAGACACGGAATGCCGTTACCTTCCCACCGAGGTGGTACCTATTTATCTACTCGCATTTTTACATGCTTTTGAACTGCTAGGTTGGCAGGAATTGGGACAAGCTTACGACTGCTGGTCTTCTGACCTTGCAGCACAGAGGCTTCTGCGGTTTAGCCCACAGCGCCACCACGTCCCGAGGATAATTTCTACTAAAACAAACAAACAAACAAAAAACTCAGTTGTACCAGGCCCAGACTGTCTCAGCCAATTTTACAGTTGGCATGATTTTTATAGCATACCAGTCACAAAGGCCCATTATCGTGTCTGAGTGGTTAAAAATCAAAAGCTAATTTTTAGTAGCTTGGCAAAGTATAATTACACTCTAAAGAATGAGAGAACTGCCTATAGTTTAAGTGGGACCTTTTGCTTTCTGACTGCTACTTGAATGCCACTGATAACTGGCATCTATGTTAACTTGCTAATTAGAATGAACCCACTATTTTTAATTTCAAGTTCCTTGTTATCCAGATAGTCCTTTCCAAATGAAACACTTCATTAGTATTTTTCATTAAATAAACTTTTCTAACTATCATACTCTGGGAGAATATTGCAACAATTACTTCTTCCTTGTCAGACCTTAAAAAGAATTTGTTGCAGTCATTGATTTGAGAGCAAGTTACATTTGTTTTAATGAAAGTTACTGCCAAGTAAATATTTCACTAAAGGAAGTAGTAAGGGTTGAAGCTGTAGTCTGACACTTATTCTGCTCTTTCAGCAGTGAAGTCTGAGGTTGCCTTTATA